GTGAGAGAGAGAGAGAGAGAGAGAGAGAGAGAGAGAGAGAGAGAGAGAGAGAGAGAGAGAGAGAACAGGAAGGGAAGTGGGCAAGGGAGAAGGAAATATGGAAAGAAAATCATTTGACGTTTTTTGTGGCGTTTGGGATGGGCTCTGCACTTGGAGGTGAGGTGGTTCATTGGGTTGAAGTGTTTTCTTGCCAGGGAACTTGGGGGCGAGGGGAGGGGGAGATGAAGAGGGAGGACGGCAGGAGGGAGGTACTGGCGTGTCATGAATGAGAGAGTGAAAAGGAGAAAAGGGAGGAGGGAGTAGGGAAAGCGGTTATGCTCATTCTTGTTTGTTATGGTGTTGAATTGCCTGTGCGCGTGCGCTTGCAGGTGGTAAATGAGTGTCGTGAAATCTACAATGCTCGCGATACGACTGTCACTCAACCGAAGACAGGGATGGTGTACAGTCGCCTGCTTGCTCTGCCTAAGCCTCCACCAAGGAAGAAGTAGTAGCGCTCATTCGTTATGATTCGTACCTCTGCTAACATTCATTTTTAAAATGGAAGTTGGAATCTGGACATAGTTACAGTCCGATACATCCAGGAAAGTCCCATGGGAATATTATGGCTTACTTATTGCTAGATTGGCTGTGATTGAACTCTAGCAAGCAAGCTGACTCCTGTGTCAGTTAATCGACTACCTACTGCGTCTCATGAGCGCCACCACTGCCACACCGTTTTTTTTTTCTTTTTTTTTTTCAATGAGCGCCACGGCATGGTTTTCAAGAGTGCAACCCTTCTTCACTTGCTCTGTCGGATTGATGATCGATCCTCTATGGCTGTCAGCCACAGTTTTTTTTCCTTTTTTTTCCTTTTCTTTCCTTTTTCTTTCGGAGTCTACAGGGGTTGGCCCTACTTTTTGGGAGCGACGGGAGGAGCTGCGCTCTCTCCTTTAGTTTTTTCGCTTACATCGGTCCTTGGTCAGGTACCGGTCGCTGGCAGATGTACCGGTCGTTGTTAGGGGCCTGAATTTTCATAAAGGCGGCGTAAACGCCGTGAAGTCGTTTTTATGGGTTCGGGGAATGACAAGGTTGGGCGGGGTCCGTTTTTTTTGTCGTTGGGTTGCCCCTACCTATTCTTCGGGAAGAGGGGTTGGTAGGCCCCTTT